GCAGCCCCTACGCTCGCTCCCAGGACAGTCTTTCCCAACACAGCCCCGGTCGGGGAGCTGTCAGGAACAGGACACGAAGGATTGGGCAGAGGAAGGGCCTGGCTCTTCGCCTCCGACCACAGTCCGGACTTTTCCCAGCCTTGGACGGACGCCGTCCAACGTCAGCGCAGTCCCGACCTTCACGCTCCAGGCTGGTGAAACATTAAAAGCGTTCCCATCCCAACGAACACCCGGCTGCACAAGCGGGAAATCAGAGCCTGTGCCACCGGAGCTATTCCCCCTGTTGCTCTTCCAGGTTTTCCTGCAGGTGATCAAAACCTCGGTGTAAAACCAGAGAGCAAAGAGTGTGGGATTTGGAAAGGGGGCCAGCTTTCCCTCGGCCAGGCTGCGGCAGAGCGGAGAGCAGGGCCGCAGGTCGGATGCGGGAGATTCGCGGGTGGAATGTTTTTAAGGTGGGAAAGGCCAGAATCGGAGAAGCAGACGGAATTATCCTCACCATGGGACCGAACGCTTGACATCGCCCTACCTCTCCCCGCGAGAATGAATGAACCTCTTGTACGATCCCCTGGTCTAATCCTCGTGTTTCCCAGGAAATTGAGGCACAGGGAGAATCCCTTCAGTCTAGCCCTTGGCCACCGGGCTGCGGGTTTGTGAGGGTCCTCGTTCCAGGGGGGACCAACAGCTTGGAAAATGTTGCCTCCGCTTCATTCCTGGGCAGGCAGTGCGCGCCAGGCCACGGGGCTGGCGGGAAGGCCTGGCTTCCGCAGCCTTCGGATAACGGCACTACTGGGAGAGAAGAGGGCTGTGAAGAGTTCACCTGCTCACCCCCTGTTCCAGAGAGGAATGTCACGGGTGAAGCCACCACCCATCACCCTGTGGGCAGTCTGCTCCGGCATCGCTCCTTCCGCATCACCGGGTCGCTCCGAGTCTGTCGTGAACTCCACGATTTGTCCCTTCCCGGCACAGCTCTCGCGCCTCTCTCCAGACTAAACAACCCCCTTTCCCTCCCTCTGTCCTTGCAGGCCATGTTTTTCCTACACCTCTGCTCATTCTCACTGCTCCTGGACTCCCTCCAGCTCCTCCCGGACCTGGACACTCTCCTGGCCGAGGCCTTACCCGTATCCAGGAGCATTATCTCCATCTGGCAAACAGCACTCCCGCTGATGCATTCCACACGGGTGTTTGTTTGCTTTTTTGGTTGTTGCTCTTGCAACAATACGACACTTTTTGACTCGTGCTTCGCCGCAATCCCTAGATTTCCTTCTGAAAGCCCTTAGGAATTGCATCAGATGAAGGATGGAGCTGCTCCCCCATCCTAGGGCTGAACTCTGGCTCCAAGTCCTGTTTCAGGCTTTTTTTCTGGAATAACCAGAAGCCAAAATCCTTTGACCCAGGGGATGGGTGACACGAAGCCAAGCCCTCTGCAGTCCGGCAGCCAAAGCCTTCTCCAGGTATAAGCCCACTGAGGGACGCCGGGGTGGCGGAAGGGGAGCAGCAGCCCCGTCTCACCGGAGCTGCATGGGGCTCGGAAGTTCCCACCAGCATCCCAGGAGCTGCGGAGCGGAGCATTCGCTGCGTGTCCTGGGCAGGAACAGGGGAGAGCCTGTGAGACAAGCCAGGCCCAGCGCTGCGAGGGAACAAACAGCCGGCAGCCACAGACAGCGTAATGTTACATCTGGCTCGGAGTCGCCTCCCGAGACCGGAGATTGCGAGAGCGAGAGAGAACAGCAACGGCGCCTTCCAGCTGCAGGAAGCAGAGCGGGAGAGGCAAGGCTAGACATCAGGACACAGCCCTCGCCACGGGGTCCTCGTCCAAGGAGGCCCAGACCGTATTACCTAATGAAACCGCTTTTCCAGGGGACACGGATGGTTTTCCAAGGCCTTCCCCGATTTCGGTGTGAAGACACCCAGCGTTACAGCAGTTCCAATTTGTGCCGTTTCCGGTAATCCGTGGAAAGGGGTAAACCAGAGCTCCCGCCTTCCCAGAAAGCCGTAAAGCTGAGCGATACCTGCTGTCGCTGTCAGCGCGGCCGTCCAAAATCCACCCCAGAACCTGCGCTGTCCGCTGGGCACCGCTCCCAAGATTCGCGCTCCGAGAGGATGATGCTGTGTTGCTTCCTCCTCCTCCCCGCAGTGTTTGGAACAGCATCTCCCTGTTCCTCCTACATGGCAGCTGTTCTTCCCAGGTAGGGGAAGAGCCATCTCTTCAGCTCTTGCTACTGGAATATCCTCCCAGGGCGCTTTTCCTCGCCATCTCTAACTTGACGTTCCTCAGGAATCATCTCACTCCCTCCCTGCGGAAGGAGTTTTTGGTACTTTTCCTTTCTCCCCCTCTCCCAAGTCTTAAATCGGAAGGCAGAACACGTAAGCCAGACCAGGAGACCAGAAGCCTCTGGAGCCGCGCAGACCCCTCTTAATTGAGTTGAACTAATTAGGAGATCCGGTGATACGGAGCTGCCGTGCCTTTACTCCACAGATACTCATGTTCTCCTTGTGATCCCGAACACACAAACACGTAAGAAGCTCCGTGTGCCGAGCGCTTCCCTGATTCACACCGTGGTGATGACTTAAAAAGCGCTTAAAATTATCCGCCTGAGTCTCGTCAGGCAGTCGCGGGTTGAACTTTGACCTCCTGGTTCCAGGAAAACACTGGCAGACCACAAGCGGCTTCTGTCACAGACGGGCTTCCCAAATCTCCACCGCTCCGGGATTTAGCTTCCCCTCAGGAACGTCAGCTCTACAAACAGAAATAATAAGGTGTAGAGAAGTGAACAGACTTGTGATTTTTAACGCAAACAACCGATTTCAGGTTTTTCTAAACAGCGAGACGCTGCTCCGTCCCCGAGCCATTTAGACGGAGCGCTGCCACGGGCCGAGCGCTGACCTGCCCCTGCTTTCGGTTTCAGGGGTGCCCGTCGGACGCGAGAGCCAACATGAACGTGGGAACGGCACACAGCGAGGTGAACCCCAACACCCGCGTCATGAACAGCCGGGGCATCTGGTTGTCCTACGTCCTTGGAATTGGCCTGCTGCACGTCATACTCCTGAGCATCCCCTTCTTCAGTGTCCCCGTGGTCTGGACTCTCACCAACATCATTCACAACATGGTAAGGGAATAGCTTGGGTTCCCGGGGCATGGAGGGATAATCTCCCAGCACCAATTGTTCTTTTCAGAGCGATCCAGTAAGATTCTGGTCAAAACAATTCCTTTCTCTAGGAATTTCTAGGAATATTTCTAGGAATATTACTCAACCTCCATCCCTCAGAGTGCACCTTTGCCTCTGGGTCGGGTATTTAAATCCAACCTGGGTACAGATGAGACTAAACATCAGTGGGGCAGCTCAGAGGGGACAGTGAATGTGTTTCCCTGCAGGCTAAGTCCCGCTGCCGTGTCCCCTGTAACAGGCAGAGCAGTGGCAGGCTGCAGCTGGCAGGACAGCTTCCGCTCCGGTTGATACAGGCTGAATCGGCCTCAGAGTTAAGAAAACAAGATTAAAACCCAAACTTTGTTCTGCTTAAAGTAAAAAGATTAGTCCAGGAACAGATTCTCCCCTTCAGATACCCAAGGGAAGGGGTGTCAGTGCGTCCCAGGGGCGCGCAGGTAAGCACAGTCGTGGGGGTGCCGCGGGGGCTCCCCGCAGACACCAGAAGCTGCTGTGCTGAACCTCTTGATTCTGTGTCTCCGCCACCCCATCGCCCAAACCTCGGGTCAGGAGGAGCAGGCCGCTCGGGAGAGGCCGCTCGGCAGCCGCTCAGCCTCCGCCGTGGGGGACGAAACACTTCAGAGGTGCAGCAAGTGCTCTGCTATCCTTTATTTTAAATAAGCTCAGCCGGAGAGTATTCCAGAGGCAAAACGGACACCCTTACTGGGGACCTTTGTGCTAACGTTATCCACATCTCTAGCAGGGGGGAAAAAAAACCCACAGAACCACCACCTAGAGCTGCTCAGGGCTCATTCACGAGCCGCCAGCTTTTCACCCACGTCCTTCCCCCTGTCCAGCAGCTTAAACGGGGGGTTCCTGGGCACGGAAAGGAGCGCAAAGGCCAGGAGCGACTAGAGGACGCAGGACGTAGCTGTTCACCTGCGACTCTGCTGCACATCCAGAGGTTAACTCTTTATCAGAGCAGCAACAGACCCACAGCTCCCCGGGCTTAGAAAGCGCGTAACGCCGCGCCGCACGGCAGAGCGAGTCCCAGCTAATCTCCTGATCCCAGAGATCCGAGCGCTGGAATCTTGCAGCCACATCCTTGGCGTCTGCCCAGGAGCTGAACGAGAGGCCTGTCGTGTAAGAGCCGAGCCCAAGCTCCCGTGGCCGGCGGCCTTGCTCCCTCACCCTGCCTGCTGCGCTGGGAGCTGGAGCACGCCTCCCGGCAGCGCCGATCCAGCCCTCTCCCGAACAGCATGCTGGCACGAGCCCGCAGCGCGCTGTTCTGGCTGAAATCGAGCATTTTTGGCGTCGCAGAGAACGCCCCGCGTGCTTCACGCTGCCTGTGTGTTTCCTGCAGAGCATGTACATCTTCCTACATACCGTGAAAGGAACGCCTTTTGAGACTCCGGACCAGGGGAAGGCGCGGCTGCTGACGCACTGGGAGCAGATGGACTACGGCGTGCAGTTCACGGCGTCGCGCAAGTTCCTGACCATCATGCCCATCGTCCTGTGAGTGCTGCGGGGCTGCCTCGCGCGCCCATCACCGCTGCTCCTGCGCGGGCCTGGGAAACATAGAATCATAGCCGGGTTTGGGTTGGAAGGGACTTTAAAGACCATCTATTTCCACCCCCCCTGCCATGGGCAGGGACACCTTGCACTAGACCAGGTTGCTCAAAGCCACATCCAGCCTGGCCTTGAAGACATCCAGGGATGGGGCATCCACAGCTTCTCTGGGCAACCTGTTCCAGTGCCTCACCACCCTCTCTGTGAAGAATTTCTTCCTGATATCTAATCTAAACCTCCCTGATTTCAATTTGTACCCATTACCCCTTGTCCTATCACTACAGGCCCTTGTAAAAAGTCCTCTCCCAGTACCCTTGTAGCCCCTTCAGATACTGGAAAGCTGCAATGAGGTCTCCGCGGAGCCTCCTCTTCTCCAGGCTGAACAAGCCCAGTTCTCGCAGCCTTTTGTCATAGGAGAGGTGCTCCAGCCCTCGGAGCATCTCCATGGCCTCCTCTGGACAAGCTCGAAGTGGTCAATATCCTTCTGATATTGGGGGCTCCACAGCTGGGTGCAGCACTCCAGGTGGGGTCTCACCAGAGCAGAGTAGAGGGGCAGAAGTGTAGTAGAGTGCTGTAATTCCCTTTCCCTCTTTTCCAGGTATTTTCTCACCAGCTTTTACACAAAGTATGACCGGATACACTTCATAATCAACACCATCTCCCTTATGAGCGTCCTGATCCCCAAACTGCCTCAGTTTCACGGAGTCCGGATCTTTGGGATCAACAAGTACTGAACGGCGTGGCCGGAGCGAACGGAAGAGGAGCAGGGGAGAAGGGCGAGTTCCTTCTCTCTCGCCCCGTTTCTTCACCCCCACACGCCCTGGGATATAACGTCGCAGCGGCTGTTTAAACGCAGTATCCAATAGACACACACCGCATGCTGGATCCTCGTGCCCAATAAACCTAAACAAGCTCCAGAGTAGAGTTTAGCGCAGAGCAGGATGTGCGACGCGGGATTTCTTTTATTCCAGCGCCGTAAGTAGTTGCAGACAGACTGAGACGTCAAGGTACAAGAAGGATGAATTCTGGGGAGATTTTCGTCTATCCCAGACACCGAAGGAACAGGGATGAGGGGAAAAGCTTTTAGTGCTGGTACTATTGCTGCGGTAAATGCACTTTAAACTGCATTTCCCTTCCTGAAGCTAGGTGCTTTAAGCAACACGTGGGGGAAATTCAAAGGGATGCAGACAGAATTTCCCAATATTGGATTGTTGTGGGCTTTGAGTTCCATTTTTGGGCAGGGGAGGGGGAAGAGAATGACAATAGATTTTTATTTTGCAATCTTTTAGGCCACTGAGCAAGGACCCTTGGTTTTTTTTTTTTTTACTAAAAACAGTACAGGAAGGCCTGACCCGCAGTTTGACCAAGCTTTCCCTTTTCTATGGTACCGTTCGTGTGGTTCAGGGAAAAAGGTCAACAGATCCTAAACCATACTCGTTATTTTTGGCTTGAAAGTGCGCTCCCTGCCCCAAAGCGCTTTTTTTAAAGGGCGCTCCGAGGGCTCAGGCAGCGCCGCGCGTGGGCGCAGGGCTGGGGTGCAGGTCATTTTAACCATCGACTGCACATGCCACTGAGTTACACGGAGACCGCGGGAGAAACCAAAGACTGATTGGCATGTGCCAAACGAGAGACAGGTGGTTTGCTCGCATCAGGGGCTGTGATTGGAATTTTTCTCCTCATTCCAGCTCAAGTCTCCCATGGTACTGGGATTGCCAGTTCTCCAGCAAACCACGGGCTTAACTCAGTGTCTGACTCAGGCGAGCAGTTCCCTTCTGGCTCACCTGGAAGCTTAGCTCACTCAGCTCTGTGCACGAGCGCCGCGGCCGCATCCCGAGCCCTCGGGCCATCCCTCAGGCAATCGCTCCGAGGGAGCTGCGGGAGAGCAGTGCGAACGAGCAGAGGCTGAGCAGACCAACGGGGGGACACAATGGGTCACTGAGAACAGATTGGTTAGTACAGGAACCAAATTGAGCCTTTTTCCCCCCAAAAGTTACCCCCTGAATCAAGTGGGTTTGCAGGTTTAGATTTCCTGGCTGAGATAGCTTCCTACTGCTCCAAATAATCAGATTTTTTTGTGGGTTGCGTGCTGGGTGACACGTGGTTTTCCTCACGCTTCCCCTGTACCCTCATGACAGCCTGTATTTTTGTTGGCTTAGTGCTTATATCGTCTCACACTTTTGACAATGATATAAACATTTTAAATACGCTGGTTTTGTTCCTGCATTGGCCAATTCTGGCTTTCGAGGTCGTAGCGGATATTGTTTGATGGTTTGAGCATAGGACGTGGGGAACTTCAGGTTTGCAGGTGAGAACTACTCCTACAGTCACACGTGGGGTAGGCAGGCATGCTGCCTCACTTCTCCATCTCAGACTTACCCTCAGGGCGCCGCAGAGAAGGGAAGACCATCGTCCTGGACCTCAGAGGGCTGCTGGAATGCGTAGAGAATCGTCGCCTAGCCTGTTTGGAAAAAATGGAAGTGTTTTAAGTGAACAGGAAGGTTTCAAGAAGGTAGAAAGAGGGGAAAAAAGAAAAAAAAAAAAGGAGTCTGGCTTGATAGGTGAGTGCTGTTCTGCAGGGAGGGAGGTAGAGATGTGCGATGTACCTGACGGGGGGTTAAAGCTTCACCACCAGGACAGGACTGCTGCTTCGGTCAAGGTACTAGATACCCTACAGCTAATACCCTCTTTGAGCTACTAGACAATGACTTTTGAAAAATAAATAGTGTTTTCAAAATAGAGATATTTCATCAATCAGCGTAGTACCTTTAAAACAACTCAGAAATCGACAGCGTCAGCGCCCGGGATGCACAGGGAAAGGCCGCTGCCCTCAGAGGCGTAGCTCTGACCTCAGCAGGGGGGCTACGGCCGCGTGCGGAATGCAGACCGTACACCGCTTCACGGATGCCAGTGTCTGCGCAGACATGGCTTATAGGCCAACACTGAATCTCCAGGGGGAAAAAAAACATTTTGGTAGAAAACAAGGGGTAAAAACTAACTTTTTTTGCAACAGAAAGCCACTGTATGCTTAGAACATCACTGCTACACAGACAGACAGCCGCTGATCCCTTCCAGGTACGTGCACATCACTCAGGATCACAGCAGTTCAGGTGTTTTCAGTACAAACTGAAGGCAGGGCTCAGCGCTCCCCGGTGAAGTGCAGCGCTTCAGAGTTTCCCTGAAGGCCTTGGCGTTAGAAAGCTGAGGGTTTGACCGTGGTGTTTGTGCTGTTAACTGACACTACGGACATCTGATTCTGTTCTGTTACATTAAAGCTCGGCTGTCAAACACAATGGGATTATAAACCTCTCAAAAAGACAGGTTTTCAAAGCCTAAAGTCCAAAACCTGTTTGGTAAAGGCTGAATTACAACAGTCAGCTTCTCTGATGTACCTTGTTCGCACCAAAATGATTAAAATAGCCATTAGAGATCTGTGTTAATGGCAAGTGCCATTCTTTACGACACAGGGATAGCATTTTTGCCATGGAATATTCCAAAGTTAACTTGGATTCATGCAGTTATTCCAATCAAGGGAAACATAACTGAAAACTGGAGAATTATGGAAAGAAGTGAGAGAGTTGAAGGAAGATTTTGTGTTAATAATGTGGGGTGTTAAGTATCTACCCAAGATTAATTACTTGACTATTATACATCTGACAGTGTCTTCCTTATGATCCCATCCTAAGGGTAGGTATCAGAATTCATCAAAAGTAGAAACCATTAATTTTAACAAGCAATTGGTCTCAAGGTGCGTAGCTTCTTCCGGTCGGAGTCACGGGAGCGCGCGGTACCCGGCAGTTTCTCGCTGACCACCTCCCGCTGCAGCGCTGTGGAAATAACGGACACAGCTCGGGGTCTCCCGGAGCTCTGCACCGAAACCACTTCTGGATGGATTTGCCTTTGTTAGATTCCGGCAGAAGAGAGTCTGGGCGCTCGGAGGCTGCTACTGCTGGAGTGCATAGTCAAAACACCGAGGCTCTCGTGGGATAACTCGTTTGTGAGAAAAGGGTGAGCAGGGCAGCGAGCGGCACAGGATGAGGGGTTTCAGGCACGTACCTGCAGGGAACACGGCAGCGGTCGAGGGGCGCAGCCTCCCTCTGTGGAAACCCAGACCGCGAGCGCAGACTGTCCCTCGTTCTTCCAGAGGGCAGACTTTTCCCCAAGTACCTGCGTGAAGGAGATAATGGATCGTTATTGATTTGAAATGGGATTTCGATGACACCTGGCAGATTTTCCCCTCAAACTTGTACTGCCTTCCGGCACACGAGGGCAAATGGCAGCTGGAGAACTCGCGGTGGGCTCCATCCTGTGCCCCAGAAACCGTTACTGGATCAGGAGCCACTAAAATGCCGTTTTGGGGTGGTGTTCTGCAGTGAATGCCGCAGGAGAAAAGCTTGAAAACCTCCTCTGGAACCACTGACAGGCACTGGAAGAAGCCGTCCCGCTGCCCCATCTTGCTCTGGGCAAAGCCTGTTCTAATCCACAGCCAAATTCCCACAGAAGGACAGCCGCCGCGCCGGGCAGGTCAGAAAACAATCAAGCACTAACGGCCCGGTGCTTCCAAATCGGGGCTCCCGGCGATTCGTTTAACACAGCTTACAGGATATCACGCTGCCCAACCCTTAGCAGGAAAAAGCCTTTAAAAAGGAAAAAAAAGCCTGAGATTTAGGGCTATTTAGTTCCCGAGTAGGTTATTTTTTTAATCGCTAATTTTTTGCTGTTTGTGATACCAGAAGCGTGGTACTGACCCCTGAAAAGGGGACAGCAGCTGGTTACCACCGTTAGCGCACGGATATTTCCCACTGACTTACGTTGCTTTACCACTGCCCATCGCATCTTTTCAGCGGGCAAGCGTGCGTGTAGCCCTCTGTCCATGGATCAGCTGGAGTGAGCTACAGTCGTTGGCTTCGGGGTTTTCTGAGGGTTTTTTTAATGGAACGTTCTGACACCGTACAGAGTTTTAGGGTTTTTCTCCCGTAGCCCTTCTTTTGGCTGTGAAAACAGACCTCTCGTGTAGAGAGCTTTCTAACATAAAGCGTGAATATTTTTATTACTCCTTTGTACAGTATTCTAAGGGAAACTAATAAAGTAAGTATTCATGTAAAAACTTGGGGTTGGTGCCTTGTATTTTTCACGGGGGGAGGTTTTGCTTTTAAACAGGCATGGCAAACAACAACTACAGAGCAATTCCAAACCAATCCACTAAGGGATTGACTGGAGCAAAGCGAAGAGCACGCAGCCCACCGCACGGATACCGTGCCAGCGAGCCACAGGAACCCTCTGCTACTAACAGAGGGTACTAACAGCCAGCCAGGCAGCATGGATACACGTGTGTCGGCATCACCGGCCACGCTGAGCGCAGAAAGTGCCTCTGGACACGCGGTGTTGTCTCCATCCCACCTGGCTGGTTAGCTCCATCGCAGGTTAGGGAAATCCCAAACCAGAACACACTGTTCCTCAGCCTTAACAGATCACGAGTACACATGAAAACCAGAACCACAACAGAGATTAGACCAATCTTACAGGAGTGATCGGCTAGTGATCTACGGCCTCTGCAACAGCTGACGACAGGTCGAAGCGGGTCAAAGACTGAAACTTTATGGAGGAAGAATTACGCAAGCAGCAGGCCTTCTGTGCCCTAATTTAGTAAGCATTTCCTGATCTCTGAACAGAAAGGCGAGGAGAGAGTGTTTTCCCAGCTTGGGAGAAGCCATATCGCTTCAGAAGCGCTGTGGGCTGCTCTGCCCGTTGCCCACTCCGGTAGCCGAGAGGCCGTTCGCTCCACCGACAGGCAAGTACATTTTTAAGAGTTTCTGGTAGGGAGGGGGAGCAGAGAAAACTCCTAAGTGACCTTGGTTAGTTTTTATCCCTTTCTGAAGGTTCCCGAGGGACTGGGACCTGGGGGTGCTACTAAAATGATCCCACCCCAAGCTCCATCGCACACAACACACCGTCCCGTGCGATGTGACCGTCCCTGATTTCTGGAAGAATCAGGCTAAGTCAGTCTGGTTTTTCAGACTCCGGTGGAACATGACGGAGCGGGAAGATCCCCCCTGCCCCTCCCATCCACTCATCTGAACTGTAAACGGGGATCAGCATCGCTCGTCTAACACGACTTTAGATAAAGTCGGGGCAGAAGAGGGCAAAAACCTGCTGCTTTTATTCTTCTTCTCAGTAAGTACAGGAAGTTCTTTCATTTGTAGATCACAGTTCCTCATCCTCATGGTTGAGGAACAAGAAGAAGCAGCAAAACTGAAACTCAGGAGCCAAACCAAGTTGCAACAGGAAATGAACAGTCCCTTTGTGCCCCAAACCCCCAGCTCTCCTCTGGGGGGAGAGGCAGAACACCAGGGCATACCCAAGTAGTGGGGCTGGGATGGTTTTCTTTTCTATTTCGGGGCAGATTTGCCATGGAACAACCTCTCCTCCTTCCCCCCTTCAACCCAGCATTCACTGCCCAGCACTTCCACTCCCTCGCAGTGCCGAAACAGTTGTTCTAATGCTCTGTTGCAAAACAACGTTAAACCGATTCTGCCAGGCAACAGGATGCACGGGGAAAATGCTGAAGGAGTAAAAACAGCTAGAAATTGCTCAAACCTCCCACTTTTTAAACTTAGGTCAGGGCAAAATGTGAATTAAAGCATTTAGAATCAGGACAGGTCCTAGGTTAAGGAGCCATGTCTAGCTTAGTAATGAGAGTCATTACGGTATGTACTGGTACCTTAATGGAAATCATAGAATCCCAGACTGATTTGGGTTGGAAGGGACCTTAAAGCCCACCCAGCCCCACCCCCTGCCATGGGCAGGGACACCTTCCACTAGACCAGGTTGCTCCAAGCCTCATCCAGCCTGGCCTTGGACACCCCCAGGGATGGGGCATCCACAGCTTCGCTGGGCAACCTGTCCCAGTGCCTCCCCACCCTCTCCGACAAGCATTCCTTCCTGATATCCAATCTAAACCCTCCCCACTTTCCATTTAAACCCGTTACCCCTTGTCCTGTCACTACAGGCCCTTGTAAAAAGTCCCCCCCCAGCTTCCTTGTAGGCCCAAGGAAGAACGAACGGTAACGCGCTCTGGTGCCAAAGGCCGGTGCCCACAGAACCTGCGCGCCGTGGCCTCCGCCTGCCCCATGCCTGGGAGTTCAGCAGCCAAGAGGGACGAGTCTGAGGCAGCCTCGTTAGCAAGCCACAGCCCCTGCTCCTTCCTCTCCCAATGCTCCCCTACAAACAATCCTCTGAAAGTCGTGTCCTTGTCCTAACGTGGGCTCTTTGGGGTTATTACTGATTTTGGAAAGTTCTCGGTAGTTAAAAGTAACACATCTTTTGTTACAACCTTCTCCTCCCTGCGTTACAAGTAATTCTGCTTAACTTGTGCCATAGGAAAAGGGACAAGACACTTCGCTTCGGTTCAAAAATTTATCCAGCCACAGCAACATGTTTAAAAAAGTCACCCAATCCATAGCAAATGAGATGGATCCAAGAGGATGCCTGATCCCAGTTCACAGCATCTTTGACCATGAACATTTCAGACCCCTCTGTCTACTGACAAGGAAAAGGAAAGCCATATTCCACCGATGTCCCCGCTACACAAGGACATCATACAGCCTGGATGATGTGATGCTGCCCGGAGAAGACGGTAAAAGCATAGGTAAAGCCCACATTCCTCATTCTTCATTTCACAATTTCCATGGGCAAAACATTTGGGTCCTTTGTGCCTGAACCCCATCCCGTTCCATCTTTCCCCCGTGCGCGATCGTTAGGATGTTGAGTCTGTGCAATTGTGCTTACGCCAACGCATCCAACTATTTCAGAGTCCCTCCTTTTCAACGGAAACGATCAAACTTCAGAGCAATTTACCTTCAAAAAGCACACCAGTGACAAAGTTGATGGGAATCTCAACTTCCGTGTGGACCCTACGAGCGTAGAGCTGATAGGAGCTGCCTCCTCGTCCCAAGAGTGGTGCATCAGGGTGGAGAAGAACCATGTGAAAGTACCAAAACTTAATGAACTGATAACAAAAAGGTAAGGCAGACACAAAGGGAGAACGCACTCTCTGATCCTCCACCTCTATCTATCCTGCGCCAGGTCGCACAACAGTTTTCCTACAGCCAAAGCCCAGGATTAAGCCCCCTAACTATGCACACTTCAGGAGGACGGGAAAGAGGTGACCAAGATTCCTTACACAGCTTTGTAATGCTTATGGATTCCTTTGTCGTTCAGAAAGTGGGAACACCTAAACCCAGTGCCCAGCCATCTTTCCTCAGGGATTGTACCTGGAGAGGAGAATACAGACCAGACCAGATCACCCGCCCGACCTGCCAGGCCGCAGCCTTGCTGCCCCGGTCCCCCTCAGGCACAGAAATGCCTTGGTTTCAGGAATTGCAGCCCATCTCATGCCATCCTTCCTCCCCCTGCCCCCAAGCCCCTGACATTGTGTATTTACACGTACCCACCTAACGTGAGAAAGGACGCAAGCGTAAGGCTTCTGGTCCGAGCAGCCTACAGTGACTTTGTCGTGACGCGCAGAAACACAGACGGGCTGTTACATCCTTTCTCTCTTTCAGAAAAGTGAACCTGAAACACCTCTTCATTCAACAACTGAAGAGAACAGAACAAAAATTATACGTGATTTATGAAACAGCAGAAACCTCCGAGGAGACCATCTGCGAGAAAACCACCGAGGCAGAAGGGAGCTTCACAACCCACATTTACGCCAAGCTGTGCACAAAGGTTTGTTTTCCCCTCGGGCTCGGTCCTTCCCCAACATCTCCACGCCAGCCAGGCCTGGTCACAGACTTCTTCCTTTGACCAGGGTGGCAGAAAGAACAAAGCAAGCTTAACTATTCCCAAGGGCTGCACCCTGGCCTTCAGGCCAATCCAGCTGGTCATCATGGACGCATCCTGCTGTAAGTAATTTACAGGAGCTCCTCCATGCAGGACACGGCACAGAAAAGGGAAAACGTTTTCTGCGTCCAGCTGTGGAGCCCCCAGTATCAGAAGGATACAGACCGGTTGGAGCGAGTCCAGAGGAGGCCACGGAGCTGCTCCGAGGGCTGGAGCCCCTCTGCCATGGGGACAGGCTGGGAGAGTTGGGGGGGTCAGCCTGGAGAAGGGAAGCTCCGGGGAGACCTTAGAGCCCCTTCCAGTACCTGGGGGGGCTACAAGGAAGCTGGAGGGGACTTTTTACAAGGGCAGGGAGTGACAGAACAAGGGCTAACAGGTTTAAATGGAAAGTGGGGAGGTTTAGATTGGATATGAGGAAGGAATTCTTCCTGCAGAGGGTGGGGAGCACTGGGACTGGTTGCCCAGAGAAGCTGTGGATGCCCCATCCCTGGGAGTGTCCAAGGCCAGGCTGGATGAGGCTTGGAGCAACCTGGGCTAGTGGAAGGTGTCCCTGCCCATGGCAGGGGGTGGGAACTGGGTGATCTTTAAGGTCCCTTCAACCCAAACCATTCTATGAGGTACCATTCGGCTGGCACAGAGAATGCCATGCTGGATGGGCAGAGGAAAAGCACAAGGAGACCCACAAAACCAGCTGCAGGATTTTAGAGACCACATTTGGGTTGTTTCCCCCATGTGGACCTTGCCGAGTATCAGCATTTTAATTCACTCATGTTTTAACACACCAGCCGACGCAGACCCTGACGTAAGGCAGGTGACAGCAGGGAATGAGGAGCTTTAAAGGAACGGGCAGAAGACAGTGCCAATGCCAGTCTGACCTCTGCCCAGCACGCGAGACCTCAGACCTGGGATACCACTATCTTCAGACACAAAAAAAACACAAGTAAAAAAATATCCATCCAGCTTTCTGTATTTTTCTAAATCAACAATTCCTGATTTATCCCTCTGCAGGTCTTGAACACTTCCCAAAAAAAAAATCAGCACTGGCATCTGACGGTGAGCAGTGGGTCTTACTCCATCCACTGGTGTTACTTTTACCCCCCCGCGGCAAGACGGAAGCTCTGAGGATAAACACAAACCACCAAAAGCAACGTGTTCACTGTAGAGAACCCCGTCACCCGAGAGGCACAACTTTACTTGAAACTGCACGGCGCCTTTGAAAACATTCACAGAAATACCTAAAATTCTAAATTTCGGGGTGGCAGGGAACTTATTGTGCAGTTGCCTAGTTTAGTACCCAGACTCTCTCTGCTTTCCAGGTTCCCCAGAAGGAAAATCAGAACCCGTGGAGAGAGAAGTTAGAGGGAATTGTCAAATTCTCTCCAATTTGTCTTCTGATCTGTTAGTCGTAATTTTAAAAGCCATCAAAGCTGTGATGAGAGACAGGATCCTCTTTCAAGAGCTGACCCAGCAAGTAAGCAAAGTTGTTCTTCCTGCCAGGATTTATGAATACAGAGACATCCACTGTCCAACCTCTTGCCCTGGAAGTTCCCCCTCCTCTGCCGCAATTATCAATCCAGAAATCCTTCACTCGGCACATCCGCCTGGTCTCTGTTACCGTACGGAGAAAGATACTCAGGACAGAGCCCACTGTGGAAGCATGTCCTGAACACGGCCTAGCAGATTTACCTGAGGCTATCACAACATTTAAATTGCATATCCCAGCTTTAACTGGGGCGGTGGGAATGCTACAGACTCAATTACAGCCTCACTAATAGCTTAAGGAGGGGAGACACTACATGACTTCATACGCTTCCGTAGTTAGACGGCAAGGGAGCATCAGCAGCTCCTTCTCTTAAATCCTGACATTTCTCTTCTATATCCCGCTAGATGGTAGCGGTTCTTGATGGAACTGATGGTTCTGAGCTGAAAACGGAAAGCCCAGACTTAAAGGACCTGTTGAGCCGCTTGCAGTCTTCTGAAAAGCACGTCATCCTTCTGCTGGCAAGAGCAATCACCTACGCTCTCGACGCCTTCGACGGTAAGGAAGGCCTTCTGGCCATTTCTCGTAGTCCCAGCACACAGTAAGAGCGTTCCTACCGACACGGCCAGCAGCATCCACAACACTCACAGAGCGCGAGGGACTCGCGGAGGATTTACGTAAAATAACATTGTGGGAATTAAGGTGGTTCCTGCCCAGAGCCAGACCCGTCCGAGGTGGCCGCTGCTGGGGAGACGCAGAGCAGCGACTGCCAGGAGCACGACACCGAATTACAGTACCCAGCAGCGGGGACCCTTGGCAAGAGTGCCTGAAACCTGAACTAAAACGTGGGTAACGATGGCAAGGCTACCTTCCAGGAAGAGCAAATTCCAGGATTTTACACACACACACACACAAGGCCAAAACATGGTTTGAACCTCTCCCCAAACCCCCTGGTGCCGACACACCGTGTTAACAGTCACCTGCAGAGGGTGGCAGCAGCACCCGGCCCACAGGGAGCCTGCGCTAACGATATCCTGTAAGAACCCTAAAGAACCTTTGGCCCAAGCGGCGTTTCCCTGCGAGACGCTCCACAGGCATCCCCGTGTCTCACCAGCTGCTGAAACACTGCGGGGGGGTGTGGGGTTTTGGTACAAACCTGTTTTAATCCCACAGAGCTAGCGGAGGATCAGCTGGTGCTACTACTGGAGGCCTTGGAGACGAAGATCGTGCTCCAACAGCTTAAGCTGGTGAGAGAACATCCATCACATTTGGCTCCAAATGAAGGGGGAGGGGGGTATTTTAAGAAAAGCAACACCTGGATGATTATATAGGTAGCAGAATCACAACTTAAGGTAATGCTGGGAAGAAGGGAAGGAACAACTGCTTCCAATTTAGCAGGGATCCAAATACTTGGAGAGAAATCACCCCAAGAATGGAGACCTAAGATTTCAAACAACTGTTTCGCTGATGATAAACATTAAATTGGATTTCTGACTACCATTTTTCTTGAAATGGTAGTCAAAATTTTCTGGCTTCATTGGCTCCAGATTTAAGAAAAACCCAAGCCAAAAAAAAAAAAAACCACAAACAGAAAAACACACCACAATTTTAATTCCTTGGGCATAATTCACAAGAAACTGGGAAGTGAATCCATGAGCAGAGTCATCTTCCAGGGGGGAAAGTCCCATATATAAATGTGCATTATTCAGTGCACCTGTAGATGGTAAAGTACCTCACAACTCAGAGAGGTCATTTACGTACTTAACCACAGCCACAGGTGGCAGCATTAAAATACCTATTTTCCTTTTTTTCCCATTGCTGCAAAGGTCAAGAGCATCTTGGAACACAACCTAAAACACCCTAACAGGCGTTTCAGTGTGGATGCCAGCTTGCTCTCCTTCTCCCAAGAGGAGGAACAAGAATTAACCATTGCAATCGTTGAGATGAGCGGAGTGAAGCTCCAGAAAGATGGATCTGCTGTCTGTATGGAAGACGCCTTCCCGGCCGTAGCAGCCCTGTACGCGTCTCTGTACGTCCTCAACCTCCTAAGCAGCTCACCTGAGGTCACACGTCCTCCCCTTAGGGAGGATTTAAAGGGAATCGCTTGACAACGGACCTGAAAGTCTCTCCCTGCGAGCCAGTTTCTCGCTCCAAGCTCACCCCCTGCGTGAGGCATTCCTTATCAGCACTGCTTTGGAATGAGCGGGAAAAACAGGCTCAAAGCTAGAAAAAAAGGCAGATAACAAAATTTGATTCTCCATTGCCCCCCATGGGAATGCAGAGCACCAACTGAAAAAATCCAGCAGCCCAAACAATCGCAAGGTTCTGTCGTGCTTCACGTGATCCCGGTTCTCCTAAAACCAACGCTAACACGCAGTCGGACAGGCACGGAGGAACGCATCCGCTGTAATCCCCTCACCCTGGTCACACCTGCCGTTCCCCCATGACCTAACAAGCTGTAAACGTTATATAAAGCTGCGGGGCCTCAGCGCGTTTGACCTGATGAAACAGGATTACGCCCCTCGCCGCAGCAGCACGGCACCAACTGCGCCGTTTCTGGACAACATTACCAACACTTTGATTGCTGCCTCATCCATAAAGAGAGTTTGGCATTTTTACTGCCTAACTGGACAGTTTTAAAGGCTTTCTTTTCGATCGGCGGGTACTTTCAGTCACCCGGCGCCGCTGGCTGCCCTCAGGCTCGCGGGGGAAGGGGCTGCCCTCAGCGCTGCTTACCTGGGTGGTAACTTATGGCTCTGGGGGCACCACCAGCACAAAAGGCCTGGTCGTGCTACGCTCCGGCTATAAGGGGAGCCCCTCAGGGGCGTGTGGGGGAACGGCGGCT